TTAAGCTTAGTCTCAATACTAACCTAAAGGGCAACACCCAGGAATTGGAGATATAACATAGCAGAACGGACTGCAGGCACAACTTCTACTCCTTAAGAGTTGTCAAATGCTGGAATTCGCTGCCAGCTGAGCTAGTCCAAGCAAATTCCCAGGAGCTCTTTAAGAGGCGACTTGATCTATTCCTAAGGACTAAGGACAATATCTCAATATGATTTACTAATTTCTTTTTTTTTGTCGTTCATATAACTAGGTTCCTGTCTGGAGGTATTGGTGATCCCCTGCTACTAGGAGCGGAAGCCTGTTAAGAGAAAGCTTCTTCTATTCCGTCCGCAACCGTTTGAACCATTTGAACACATGTACTTCATTAACTCTTGTCCAGGTCTAAGTTTGAGCAATTTTGGAAAAAATGGGGTAATTTAAATTGATAACAATAAGGCTGCTACTTTCAACGGCTATCGGGTATTATGGGTTATTTTCTAATTCTGATGAAGAAGTATTTAGTGTATTGTAACCAGTAATTGTAAGGCATCACTTTGAAAATGGGATTCAGGAAGTTAACTCCTGCGTCACCTGTAATTTTCGAAGACGTTTTATTATTAAGAGATGAAGATGGTGAAGGACGACTTTCACCTGTCTTATGAAGGTAGAATAAGAAGTATCAACCAGTTTTTATTTTCTTGTCGTAGATCCTATGGGATCTAATACTGATTTGTCGTATACTGAACGGTGATTTCTTTCCCATGATCGTACGCTGAAGTCTAGAGAATATTCTCAAAAGCTTAAATATCAAATCGTTCAAGTCTTGAGTTTCATTTCTTGAATCAAGACGTGAATTACTAGAACTCTCCAACAAAGCGCACAGTTTCAGAACATTCTGTTGATTCAGTATAAAAGAAATGGGACCTTCACAGTACTATGATCACGAGGATCTCAAAGGATCACAGGAACTCTTATCATAACCTCAGATGTTTGGGGACTGACAAGTGCGACGATTTTCGTTTATCTCTAGATGCCACTGCAAATTATATGGATACACCTTCGCATATCGTTTGGCATCTGACGCCGTTGCCGATGACGTCAAATGTTGACCAGAAGGGTTAAAGGATGCCGATGTGTATAACTTGTATGCCGGCTTATATGTCCTGATGTAGTGAACGAAGGTTTTGTTAGGGCAAAATAATTTACCGTATTGTGCATTAATAAAATGTAAAAAAATATGCTAAACACAATATGTGTATATCATCTTTGAGTTCTTTCCTACAAACTTCATCGTTCTCTCATTCTTGTTGCTATATCGATTGCTTTCTATTTTCCTTTCTCTCCTTTCCGTAGGAATTCTACTTTAGCTTCCACATGTTACGCAAATGTCAATAGCTGCAATAAGGCATGTGTCGGTGCCATCATTTCTGTATCTGTATCATAACATTAAGGCCATGCCCCAACAAAACAGTGCAAATAAAGCGTTTATAGCTGTGTGGATGAAGTCCTCGCCTTGTTATACAAGAGTGTGCTCATTGTGATTTACACAACACTAGTTTGGTTTAAGATAGACAATCACATGTGGGAAACAAAATACTATTTAAAAAGGGGCTTAGAACTTCGAGAAAAATTACAGAGAACAACCATCATCCCTGATCAGAAGTAATTGTCCTGAAATTAACCTTCGATAAACTACCTTTGTTGTTGAATCTTAAAGGAGTCAGTAGTCAACTATGGTCGTGCCTAGCTTACTATATGGTTTTTACGGTTTTTGCGTTGAGGCTAGATCTAGTATATATTCAGATTTTGTACTGTCTGTTTTTATTCCTTCTACTTGTTTTCAGTAGACTAGGTTTTTTATTACATGTTTGTGAACCTTTGCAAAAATTTGTTCAACAACATTTATTTAACCATGGTCACTACGGTTAGATGTGATGGAAATGGCATTCAGTGTGACAGTTGCAGATATTACTTTTACGAAGCATGGACAGACCTTACAAAAGAATTAACCAGGTCGCAAGTGGACATGTGTCATATGCTACATAAATGCTGAAGATTTGTTGAGCATGATGATTATTCTCCCAGCAGGTCCGAAAAGACACTGTCGGAAACCGTCTGAAAAGATAGTCCTTAAACGGATAAACAAATAAACTCTCAGTAAAATAAGAAAGAGGGTCCTCAACAACGTCAATATTGATAAAAGAAGAGCCAACACCAGTTTAGATATGCTGATGCTCAGCAATGCCACTACATCGGTGTTAGATTAACTGTAAAGATGTGATCCTCAACACAGCATCTGCAAGCGCAACTTTGGTAACCAAACATTTTACTATAGGTGGCTGAGCTCCCATCAACACAAAAAAAAGGGACTGAAGGCTACCGTCGAAATCACTGAACGGCGCAAAATTTACGCTCTACAAATCATTCTGTCCAGTAAACGATCCACAAAAATTTCAGGCAACCTACAACCATAAAGAATGGCATTCTTCGAATCCTCAAACTCTAAAGTTGATCCTTGGCATAAAACATACGAACTGTTGATGGTTGCACATATAAGCAGATCAACGAAGCAAGAAAAAAATTTATAAAGGGGATGAGAAAAGCTAGTCGATAGCTTTGTCTTCAACCAGAAAAGCTTATTCTATCATACAGCTTCTCCTCAACAAGCCAAAACCAGCGTTTCCCAGTTGTTATGTCCCAATATCCTAAGAGTCACTGGCGATGACACTGCTGACATTCTGTTAGAAGTGTAATTTCAAATATTCGAAGAATGATGTACAAAATACATCGACGAGAGCTCCACTTGCAAGTTAACAGGACTCTCAGAAGTGAGCCTGACCTTTGACTTGTTGCACCATAAACAGAATCTAAACACGGACACTGCTTCTAACCCGAACATGGTTCATACTACTATGCTGAGAGAAGTGGCTTCAATCTTGGCGAAACCGTCCAGAATGACCCCACATTTTCTAAACCGAGACACTATCCCAAACAATTAGGAGTTAAAGCATATCACACCAATTTTCAAAGGAGATCAACTCGGTCAACCTTCAAGGTTCTGGCCCGTAGCGTCACTCTCACTACTGTCAAAAGATATAGAGTCCCTGATATATGATGGTCTACGTAACTAATTACTATCCATAAACTTCTCTTTACTTCAAAAACACGGTCACCCTTGTATAACCAACCTGCTGACCGAAGGGGATAAATAGACAACTATCCACACTCGAAGCGGGAAGTTAGATGTTACATATCCCGACTGCTCAAAACATTTGATGGTTTAAACCATACATGTCGCATCAACAAGTTCAAACATTTAGTTATGTATTTACAGTTAATATATTGGCTCGGCTCGTGTCTAAATAGTTGATCTTGTGTGGCCACGATAAACTTGACGTTTTCACAGGCTACAGAATGTCCTAATGAGGCCCCCCCAGGCCTCAGCACTAAAACTTCCTTTAGTAATTTATATAAATGACTTACATCATCAAGTATCACCTGATTTACTACTTTTACCCGACAGTATGAAACTAAGAAAAGAAATTTCCTAAGATGATAAGCCTGGACTTCAGGAGGATCATTAGTTTTCAAATTCTAAGATTCGCTGCCGGCTAAGGTGGTTCAAGCGACTTACCAGGTGTTCTTAGGTGGAAATTTCACAAATTTTTGAAAATCAAGACTACATTCCACCATAATTTGCAAATATTTCTCTCTTTATCATTGTATACCGTTCGTGCACAGACCAGATTGCGACACTACGGATCATCGTCGAACAATCAATTGAGTGAAACTCGTCACTCTACATCAACTTCATTGATTATGAGAAGACATTTGACAGTGTAGATAGGAGGACGTTATGGAAAATTCTTCGACACTACGGAGTTCCTGAGAAGATTGTCAACATTATCCAGAACTCATACGATGGACTACAGTGCAAAGTAGTGCATGGAGGACAGCTGACTGACGCATTCCAAGTAAGGACCGGAGTAAGACAAGGCTGTCTACTCTCTCCCTTCCTGTTTCTTCTGGTGGTCGACTGGATTATGAAGACCTCGACATCTAAGGGAAACCACGGCATACGATGGACAGCTCAGAACCAATTAGACGACTTGGACTTCGCAGATGACCTAGCCCTCCTATCACATACACACGAACAAATGCAGATAAAGACAGCCAGCCAGCATATCAGCAGTCTCTGCATCAGTAGGCCTCAACATACACAAAGGGAAAACCAAGGTCCTCAAACACAACACGGAGAACAGCAATCCAATCACTCTTGATGGCGAAACTCTGGAACACGTGGAATCCTTCACATACCTGGGAAGCATCGTCGATAAACAAGGAGGTTCAGATGCAGACGTCAAGGCAAGGATTGGCAAAGCTAGAGCGGCATTCCTTCAACTGAAGAACATATGGAACTCAAAACAACTTTCAACCAATATCAAAGTCAGAATCTTCAATACGAACGTCAAGGCAGTTCTACTGTACGGAGCTGAAACTTGGAGAACTACAACAACCACCATCAAGAATGTACAAGTATTCATCAATAGCTGTCTACGCATGATACTCAACATCCATTGGCCGGATACCATCAGCAACAGCCTTTTGTGGGAGAGAGCCAACCAGCTTCCAGCGGAAGAGGAAATTAGGAAAAGACGATGGAAATGGATAGGACATACTTTGAGGAAATCATCAAACTGCATTACGAGACGAGCGCTAACTTGGAATCCTGAAGGGAAGCGGAAAAGAGGAAGGCCAAAGAACACATTACGTCGGGAAATAGAAGCAGATATGAAAAGGATGAATAAGAACTGGAAAGAGTTTGAAAGGATTGCCCAGGACAGGGTTGGATGGAGAATGCTGGTGAGCGGCCTATGCTCCTTCACGAGGAGTAACAGGCGTAAGTAAGTAAGTAATCGTTGTATATGTATATGCTCTAATTGGAGGCACCGGTGATTTACTGCTACTAGATATCGAAGCCCGTCAATTCAAAGCGACTTCTGTTCCGCCTAAAACCATTTGGAAGTCAGGGAGCGTTCTTTAAGAGTCGCGCTACGTGGTTGCTGGTCACACTTCGAAAGCCTATCTTCCTGTTTCCGTGGCATTTGGCGTTCTTTATTTCCATCATCAGGGTAACATTACAATACTACTAATTATGTACAACTTAAACTGACCAAAGCTGTAAATGAACATTCTTTTTGCTGTCATAAAATGAATATGGAATTAAGAACAATGTAAATAATTACCACTCACGACGAAGATTTTACGAAATCGCGTAAATGTAGGAAGTTTTCTCACAGTAAGAGAAACGGAGTCGTCCTGAGTTTTCTTGACCGCTACTTTTAAACTCCAGGCTACCAATATCAACTTTTCCTTTGGGAAATTTCAGAGATATTCTGGAAAGAATTTCACACCTCGATGAATCTGAGGGTATATTTTCCAGAAAAGTTCTCAATCAGGCTGTCCTAAGACTTATTCTTGATCACTAAGTTAGGATTATAGGTTGACAATTAAGGTTACTACTCGACATACATATTTTAGTCTGCCAATTCGCGTGCTAGACTTAACCAATCTTAGTCAGGGATGAAGCATATAGTTCTTGTGGTCAGATCATGTGTCCCATGCGCCTGAAAGTCAGCATACAGTATACTCATTTCCTCCATATTAATAATAGTACTATGGAAATTAATGAACTAAATATAAGGAATAATATAAATACGCAAGTTAGCGATTAGCAGCACCCTAACCAAACGTTCATGTAGGACCGTCAAAACCAGTCTGTGAACATTAAGTCGAAACGTTCGATGTTTTCTGTGTTTCGGGAATGCTAGATCAAGTAATGTACCAAAGAACATTAGTGAAGAAATCATATTTAGAATTATCGTTTCTCGACTCCCCTCAATTCAGCTTATAGTTCGATTGAACTAGTTTATTTGCTCCATACTAATGTTACGAATACCATTACTCAAATAGTGAATGGTACTTACCTAGGAGAAAATATACTAAGCGTAAATATATTATATTAGTGTTAATTGAATCCACTTCTAGTTGTCCTATTGGATTCAATTAAATAGTAAAACCAAAGGACTGTGTTTTTTTGCTACCATTTGATTTTCTTTCTTTAGTTTCATCACTGCACTACCATACCATATTGTATCAATTCTTCTCGTGGACAGTAGTTAAAGAGCACTTGCGTTCGTAAATGACATGCAGATAATGTTAGTGTAAAGCAAAAACTAGGAATCGTTTGAGGATATGAGGTCTCAGTAGTTTTACGTGCCTACTTTTCATGGCCTCAAGATGTTTTTTATGTGTTCACTATTTTCACAAGACGTTAACAATTCCGGACACCGCAATTAAAAGAACAAGATATTCTGTAGCAAGTTAGAGTAGTTTTGGATATATCTTACTATGGAGTTCAGTTATCGCCGGAAAATCCAATAATAAAAAGGAAAAACAACCGAAAATATGATGCCTTTATACTTGTATACAACTATGAAATTTGAAGCGGAAATGTATGAAAATGTAAATGTGTTCACACTAAGTACTGGCTGCCCCTAAATGCCCTGGTACGGCTGAGAGTGGGGAGTCAGCTTTCTCTCTCGAAATGCTCTCACATGGCCACGTGCGTACGACCACTACCAGGGAGTTCCTATACGATGCCTTCTCGCGGTAGGGTTATTGTTTACGAAAGTGAGAGGATGGAAAGCGAATATCCAGCGCTTAAACCGGTTCGGTAGATATGGAGAATCCCCCTAGGGGAGTTGAACAACCCTGATTCCAGACCAATGGTGCACATGAGCTCCAAGATCCTGAAGGACTGCATCTCCTGACGTCACTCTATTGCCTTGTGGATCAGACTTTTAGATGGAAGGCGCCAGGTGTGGCGCCCTATTTCAGTTTGCGCACCCGGGCAGCATCCCAGCCCTCACACAAATCGAGTGATTTATGTGGCGCATATCTATTTGGTTCCTCCGTGTACGAATGTTTGCGTGTTTAAATAGACGAAGTACTGGCCACAACCGATGTACCTTGTCCCACAGGAACCCATTTTTTTATACCTGGAGGGAATAGTTCACGAACTGGTCAGCCGAAGTTTAGTTGGGAAAAGATATTCATGTAATCATCCTAAACCAACATTTCTTAGAAAAATCGGTTGTTTAATCAAAATTGGCCCAAAGCGCTTTTTAATTGTAAAACACTTGACTCCTATCGGTCGCATATTTTCGATAGTCCATGTAGGCTAAATAATGAATTCAGGAATAGAAAGGGATTGTAGTACTGTCATTCAATAGACCATCACTGTCAGGCTGCTTTGTATACAGACTAGTGAATCCTCGTCTTGATACGATGGCCAAGCTTTGAAATTTCGCATTATCTTAACCATCCATGATTTTTCGGGAGATTCTTTATTGTCTTTAAACAGAAAAACACAGTATACTTCGTGACACTGGTTTTAAACTTGTAATCCTCTCTAATACCTGGGGGTTGGCAAATTCATAATACCTCCACTAATACTGAATCGTTTATATCCCGAAATTACAAATGTTGGTTAAGAAATCTGTCTTGGTGTAATACTGTCCAGTGTTTTGTGTTCATTCTAGATGTTGCATCCTTACATATTTCGCTTTAATGTTTGAACTCTATAAATCAATTACACACTAATTTTCACAATATTTTTTTTAGGGTACTTATGCTGTCAGTCATAATCGCATATAAGCTTCTTATCAAGATTCGTAATGATTGACAGAAAATGTGTTAACTTTTGCTATAAATATCTCGATAAAGTCGTGCGTCTTTGCCAACAACCAAAGTTGAGCTTGAAGGCCAGTCCACCTTATATTTTGGATACGATTCCGGATATATATGAAAAGCTGCAAAGAATAATTGCAAATTACGAAGAAAATTATGATGTACTCTCTGAAATAGAATACTTCCAAATATATATTTCGACCTTGATTGAGAAATCCAAGCAAACTATTAGTCTTTTTAAAAATTCAAAAGAGAAAATCTTCGATATCAACTCAGATGCACGATTTCGTCTGATTAAGTTGTCGCTAGTATATTCACATCTGCTAAACGATTTAGAAGCCCTCTTCCCACATGATACTTTCGACTCAAAGAGTTTCCGTATAACGAAACCTAGTGCAGCTCGATGGTGGTTGAGCAATTTTGGGAATAGTGTAGTTGTTTCTTGGCAATTATTCAAGGATTCGTTAATTCAAACATTCAGAATAGACTCGGATACTCAACTGCTGGCTCTCCAAACGACTATAGACATAACTTGTAATGACTATGTATCTATTTTTGAGTTCGATGTATTTACTAGACTGTTTCAACCGTGGAACAATATCCTGGAAACATGGAAAGCATTAGCCATCCTCCATCCGGGTTACATGGCATTCATGACGTATGATCAAGTTAAAGGTGTTCTTAAACGCTACTGCACTCACCCTGGTCCAGGAACATACATTTTTCGATTATCGTGTACTAAACTGGGTCAGTGGGCTATCGGATATATTACACAAGAACTAAAAATCGTACAAACTATAATACAAAACAAATCCTTGGCACAAGCGTTGGTTGATGGAGAAAGAGAGGGATTCTATTTATATCCGAACGGGAAACCCAGTCCTACCACATTGTTGTACCATTTAACAAACAATCTCCTCCAAGTTCACTTACAAGTAACAAAGGAACAGTATCAACTTTACTGTGAAATGGGTTCAACCTTCGAATTATGTAAGATTTGTGATGAAAATAATAAAGATACGCGACTCGAACCCTGTGGCCATTTGATTTGCAAGAACTGCTTACTTAATTGTCAATCTACAGGCAACGGTTTAACATGTCCGTTTTGCCGCCTGGTAATAAAAGGGACTGAAGATATTATCGTTGATCCTTACAAACCATCAAGCGACTCTGGTAAACTAAGTTTCCATCCCAGTGAGCCTGTCGTAATTTATGATCAAACAGCATTCATTCATGAGATAGCTCAGAAGCCTTCAGAATTGGCTTCGTGTTCTGTCAGTGCATTGTGTAACAGAAAAAGTCTCACACCAGATCCTCTATCTGTGGGACCACCACCTATACCACCAAGAAACTTTTATTTGACATCCACTATAGATAATACCGTAAATTACAACAACGAACTTCAAGCTAGTTGTCACGCTTCTTCAACAAAATGCGGACTCGGAATTTCCACACGTCCTGATTTTCATGAAAACATCCGATTCACAAATTCCGACTCATCTGTTACAAATGATACACTCTTACGATCGCTTAATGACAGTAATGATGATAGATGCTTATGCTCTCAAGGGAACAATTCTCTGTTACCGGCACAAGTTATGTCCCGGATAGATACTAAAAGTTTCAGTCATACAATGGGTTTAAATTACGCTCAGTTAGATTTAAACAAGTCAGATTCTGATGATGAATTAGAGTTTAGTTTAGCCTTTGATGAAAAAGACGGAATACGAGACCAGCAAGATGATATCAATCCATCTGCACAACAGAACATAAGTGCAAACCTAGATCTCATTTGTGAATCGCTATCGAATGATAAGAACCATACGGACCGTTCTTCAGATAATTTGTCTAACAAGAATACGATCCCCTCCGGTATATCACATTGTGATCTCACCAAATGTCAAACAAGATCTGTGAATGAAAATGTGAAAGAATTAATTAGTTTGCACCCTGAAATGACTGAAGCAACAGCCAAGCTGTTACTCACTTTAACGGAAAACCGTCTACATATTTCACATGAAATATGGAAGCACTTTATGCCTCGTGTTTAGAGAGACGTGTAAGCACTTATTTTCAATAATATGATTAATGCTATTTTGCTCAGAGATAATGTATTAGGCTTAATGTTAAAATTATTTTATACTTTCTTATTTTCAATTTTACTTATGTTGGTAATAATTATTGTCCTGCAGAGTTCGACTAGATTTTAGGTAGGGTCACCAAATTTTCGTGCTTTCAAGTTAGTACTGATAACAATGTCTACCTAACCATTTTCTATATCGTATAAAATTTTCTAAAATTTCATTTTAACAACAAATAAATGTATGATATCCTACTGAAAGTGTGAAATATACTCGATTTGACTTTCAAAATTGTTCTTTTATCCCAAAGAACATAGTGCAAATAAAATCCTTCAATGTGGTTAAATCTGATTAGATATGAGGGTCTACACTGATTAAAAAAGTAAATAAGTACTAATAACTAGCTAGAGACGTACGTCCAATAATATTTCCTGTCAACTGCTTCCAAATATCTAACCCATCAACATAACACACGTGATATCGGATCATTTACACTGGTGGCTATACTGCGATTTGATCGATAGAATTCGATCAACACAACAGGACTGAACAGGTGTGACGCTAACCACTATTCAGTGATCAATCGATTGTGTATTTGAAAATCTAACGTAATTGCTAATCACAATAAGTAGTAACTAGAATTTTCGATATCAAGTGACACAAAAAATTCGTATTATGTATTACCATCTAATTATCTGTTTTTATAGGGGTTAGTATGAACTGCCTTTTCGTACACTGGTAATGCAGTATTTTTCCAGTAAGTAAATCCTCTAATCAGGCTTTTGTTTCTTTCAGCTAAACATTCGCGAAAATGAATTAGTTTTTCTGATCCAACAGATAAAAAACGGCTAGGTTCATAAGTATGTTGGATTGTAGAATTACGGGGTGGTTTCAACAAGTCGCACATTTGATCAGCTAGTTGTTCGCCAGTTTCGAAACATAAGCCATATTTATTATCCTCCATCAATTCATTTAGTGTTGTATAACCTAGCGCCAGGACGGGGACGTTCACACCAAGTAGATCAACTACCTAAACATATACAATCAAAAAATACCCATACGACATGTGTTAAAGGATATTAGGTTAAAATAATTGGTGATTAGTAATAAATGAAAATCTACATGGATATATATATATATATATATATATATATATATATATTGAAAAGTTGAATCTTAATAAGAAAGCTTTTGGATTCTATATTTGATCATTCTAGGTTTTCGGAACTAGAAGTAACATAAGATGAATATACCTCTAGAGTGTAATTCTGTTCTTTACACTCACGTAAAAACTTGTGTTAACTCACGATTGGATTAGTTTATGGTATAGCCTTTTTAACTTCAAAATAACGAAATGACGATATTATCCCGAAATGCAACCATACAGAGCTTCGTCTGTAAATACAGAAATAGGTTTACTTATATGTTTCTTAGTTTAAAATTTATTTTGTCAATAACTCCACTTCGTGGTTAAATATTACGTAAAGTAACATTTTTAGACTGCACATACTACTTCTTTGTAATATATCTGAAAATATTTCAAACGCACTTTCATGGGTAAATCCAGTCCCGAGGAACTTCGATGTAAGCTAAGTCCTAAGTCAGCACATCCAAGAAAAGCTGGGTAATCTGACCACTCAAGCCACAACATAATGACTTCCACATGTTTCCAGTTTTGTTCCTTTATTAATTTTGCATAGTAGCTTTGTAATGGACCACGACCTAAAGCAAGGGAAGTAAAATAACATGACAATAATTGTGTCACATCCGGACAGAAACTCTAAATCACTTTTGTGGTACTTTGAACTGAGTGACTTAAATAAAATAATATATTTGTAATATCCTAATGAGTAGAAAAATTAGATTTTCTGACGTTTCGTGACTCAGTGTAAGTCACTTCAGAGAATAAATAACCAAATCAAAATTGGTCCAAGTTTAAATAGTACAAAGGAACAACGCAAGAGGGGGGAATTTTGTGACAACTATAATCAATTTGTTGAATGTGCATAGATCTGCAAATATCTCCCCATTTTCGTTTCTCTCTTCCAGTTCATGTTGTCCCATGATATCACCACATCCGGTGTTGTCCATTCCAACTTCGGCGTTTAGATCCCCCATTAAGATGGTGAGGTCCTTTCTTGGGCACTTCGGTATGATTGATTGCAGCCACTCATAGAACTGATCTTCGTTGTCGTCGTTGTTATCATTAGTGAGTGCATAACGTTGGATAACATTCATTGTGATCCCCTCCTTTGTTTTGAATGATGCTTTGATGATTCTGGATCCGTCAGATTCTCATCCTACAAGTGCATTTCGTGCTTCTCTGGACAACATTAGAGCAACTCCGAGTGTGTGGAGCATTTTCTTCTTCGTGACCGGAGTACAGAAGCATCTTTCCCGTATCGAGCTTTTGCTGTTCAGCTTGAATGCAATGGGTTTCTTTGATTCCGAGTACTACCAAGCTATCTCATCATTTCTGTTGCTGTTTGGCTGGTCTTCTCGGTCTCCCACATTGTCCGGACGTTCCATGTACCTATAAAAGTTGTTGCTCTGGTTGTAAGAACGAACATCGGCCTCGTGACTTCGCAGATGATCCAGCTCTTCTATCCCGTACACACGAACCAATGCAGATGAAGACAACTAGTGTAGCAACAGCTTCCGCATCAGTAGGCCTCAACATGTACAAAGGAAAATGCAAGATCCTCAAATACAAAACGGAGAACACCAACCCAATCCCCCTTGATGGCGAAATTCTGGAAGAGTTGGGGACGTTCACGTACCTGGGAAGAACCATCGATGAACAAGGAGGATCGGATGCGGACGTAAAGAACATATAGAACTCAAAACAACTGTCAATCAATATCAAAGTCAGAATCTTCAATACGAACGTCAAGACAGTCCCACTAAAAGGTGAAACGTGGAGAACTAATACAACTATCATCAAGAAGGTACAAGTATTTATAAATAGTTGTCTACGCAGGATACTCAACATCTATTGGCCGGATGCCATCAGGAACAGCGTACCCTGGGAGAGAACAAACCAGCTTCCAACTGACGAGGAAAAGATGTTGGGAATGGATAGGACATACATTACGCAAATCATCAAGCTGCATCACGAAGCAAGCACTAACATGGAGTCCTAAAGGAAGACGGAAAAGAGGAAGGTCGAAGAACACACTGCGTCGGGGATTGGAAACATACGTAAAAGGGATGAATAGCAACTAGAAAGAACTGGAAAGGATTGCCCAGGACAAAGTTGGATGGAGAATGCTGGTGGGTGGCCTATACTCCTCTACGAGGAGTAACAGGCGTAAATAGTAATTGTAGAATCGCAAGAATATTATGTGCACACAAATATATTATTTTATTTATAAAAATCTACTCAATGTATTCGAAATTATCTTGTCAAATCTTGGTAGTGATACTATAAGTGACTTGAAATTACCCGAGAACATAAACAATACTTGAAGTATTCAAGAAGAAGAAGACTTCGCGATAGGTCCCGCTTATAAGCACTGGGTTTTTTCTGGTTCCTTATAACTCATTGAAGCCTGTCGGTCTACTCCGGGTGACCGTGAGTTTGACCACAAACGAAGGATGTTACGTAATGAAATAGGACAAAGCTTGCGTAAAGACCGAGAAGTCTGGTGGTCGGAGCTTGCTAATGAGCTGGAAGCAGCAGCTGCATCTAGTAACTACCGGAAGCTCTTCCAACTCATCCGAGCCACTGGCAGCAAGAAGTCTGGTGTGAGCGAAACAACCTGCGAGGATAACAGGATGCCAGTCGCTAACATCCATCGAAGTCTTGGACGATGGGCAGAATTCTTTGAAGGGCAGTTCAACTGGCCTGCTGCTCCGGCAACATCGGTCAGACTGTCCTGCCCTCCATGGCCGGTGACGACTGATCCACCAAATGAGGCAGAAGTCCGCAAGGAACTCCAACTCTTGAAACGTTACAAATCACCGGGCCCAGACGACTTACCTCCGGCTCTTTTTAAAGATGGTGGTGACTTTCTGACTAAGGGACTGACGAAGTTGTTTACAAAGGTCTGGGAACTAGAGTGTGTACCAACGTCATGGAATGAGTCGATAGTTCTCCCTATCTTTAAAAAAGGTTCACGTCGTTCCTGTAACAACTATCGGGGGATAAGTCTACTTCCAATTGCGTCCAAGCTATTGGCTTCCGTCATACTTCGTAGGTTCAAAACCCGAGGAAGATTGACTCGCGAGGAGCAGGATGGGTTTCGTTCTGGTTGAGGATGTATTGATCATATCTTCACCCTCCGCTAAGTGTTAGAACACCGCCATACTTATCAAACGCCAACAATCGTAGTGCCTCTTAACATCAGGGCTGCCTTCGATTCGTTGGACAGGACTGTTCTCTGGGATTGTATATTGAAGAACGGTGTGCCTCAGAAGTTTATTAACATCTATAAAGGCCCTATATACAAACACCTCGGGCAGAGTGAGGGCATACAACTACCTCGCTCCATTGTTCCATTCAAGCAGTGGAGTTAGGTAGGGTTGCCCAATCTCACCACTCCTCTTTAACTTTGCCATCGATGACATTCTGGAAACAGCGCTGATGGATGTAAGTAATGGTGGTGTGGATCTGTTGTCTGGAGAAGGACTTCTTGACCTTGAGTATGCGGATGATATTTTCTTACTATGTCATGATACCCAAGCCATGCAATCCGCACTTAATCAGTTGGCAATCAGTGTCCGTAGGTATGGTATGTACTTCGCACCTTCGAAGTGCAAAGTACTTCTACAAGACTGGCAGGATTCTAATCCTGTACTCACTCTGGACGGTGAGCAGATAGAAGTGGTCGAGAAGTTCGTGTATCTAGGTAGCTGCATAAGTGCTGGTGGTGGCGTGAGTGATGAGATCAATGAACGTATAGTGAGAGCCAGAGCGGCTTATGCCAATCTGGGCCATCTTTGGCGCCTTCGTGATGTTAGTCTGGCTGTAAAAGGTCGGATCTACAACGCGACGGTGAGAGCAGTTTTGCTCTATGCTTGTGAAACCTGGCCTCTCCGAGTTGAGGATGTTAGACGACTCTCTGTGTTCGATCATCGTTGTCTCCGAAGGATTGCTGGCATCCAGTGGCAACACCATGTCAGTAATGCAGAGGTTCGGCATCGTGTGTTCAGGCACAGAGACGACAATTCGATTGGTGTCACCATCTTGAAACACCGACTTCGGTGGCTTGGACATGTTCTACAAATGCCGTCCCAGAAAATTCCTCGTCGTGCATTATTTGCCTACTCTGAGACTGGTTGGAAAAAGCGGAGAGGTGGTCAGTGTATGACATGGTGTCGTGGTATGAAAGAAAGCTGCAAAGGGCTGGCTTGTGTTGGTCCTTCACGACTCCCTGGCTTGGGTCCTAGAGATGGTGCAACACAGTGGCTAGAGACGTTATCAGATATGGCTCAGAATAGAAGCCAATGGCGATCCTGCTGTAACCTTCTTTTACATTCGTCATAAAAAGTGGTTGTATCTTCCTTAACTGGAAGATTTCTTCTGATTGTACCTTTCCGTTTTCCCCATCATTGTTCTCTCTCTCTCCCTTTTTTTTTATAATTCCCCACGTTCATTACTTTTTTTTCTCCTCTTCAAATTATCATTGTTTTGTGTGGCGCATATATATTTGGTGCCCCCCCTGTACCAATATTTATGTGTTCAAATAAATAATTAATAAAGTTTTAAAATCTGTTGTACAGAGTAAGTGAAATTACAGATCCTTTGGATATGAATATTTGGGGGCACCTTTTAATAAGTGAGAACTAAAATATTGCTATTATTTAGATAGATTTTCAGAGTTTGATGCTATACTTAAAGCCTTGATTTTTTCGTTGCAAATTTTGATAAGTTTAGTGGAGTATACGAAGTATGCCTTCTTGTCCTTAACTACATACAGGTAATGAAGATGGGATGCAGATAACACAATATTAAGTAGAATGAACTTACGACAAGAGTGGAAGGGGCGAAGCCATTAGAAAATAAAAAGTTTAGGTGTGAACGACTGATCTAGGATGATACGATAACTAATTTGACAAATATGGATCTTATAGATAAAACCAGCCACATTACGAGAATGATAGGTCAGAACAGGTTAGAAATGTCTAAGACAACAAGACTGAACACAGTTTAGCGTAAAACTATACCTGTTACAGCAAACACAATACTGGGTAAACCTGAATCCGGTTTTTCAGCTGCCTTGTCGTAGATTTCCAGTGCTTTAATTGCCAACGTGAAGTCATCATCAGGTGTCCAGCTGCAACTACTGACAACTAATGCTGGGCGGTCTGGGCGCCAATGGGGCTCATTGTTCTTGGTATTAGTTGGCAAAGCAGTTATCTCAGTAAAGCGTGTGAATCGACATGAATCTAGTTTGTTTCTAAACACTGCGTATTGATCGCTGAGTCTAAAAATTTAATAAACCCGAGTTGAGAAAATTGTCAAGAGACACTAGGGAAATATAGAAATTAACTTTCCGGAAATAATTAGCTAAAATAGTCGGTGCTTTATTAGTACAATAGTGACTTTTGTACGACTTCACATTCGTAAATATACACTAACCCGCTTTTTTAACCACTAGTGATAAACAGCAAGTCAACAATACGAACAGGTAATAATTTCTTGTTATCAATCTTATGTGATGAAATCTGAGCCTTGGTTCGTGACGGAGTGAAGTTCACTTCTACCAAATGGCTTTCACACAGAACTTGGTACACAGTTACTTTAATGCAGTCAGTCAGCTTCAACTTAGGACCAGACATATATATGCATCGGTCCAAGTTGCCACACCTCATTAGCACAACAGGATGAACATCAAATTCATACAAGCAGCTGCTTCAATGGTGGTAATACATTAAAAAACAGATTACATATAAGGATATGGCACAATAAGAAAGAGTTAGTAGGTAGAAAGAAAGGTGTAAAGTACTTTTAATCTCATGGTTGAAGGGAAGACAGAGTGTTTGCACCGACGCCATTGTGATCGTTTCTGAGCTATATCACCCAGAATCTCCAATCATTGGTTACGACAGTCACGCGGACCCCAACCAAGTAGTCTGTATCCACCAACATGGCTCAGACCAGAAGTTAGTGACTTCAAGCACTGATGCTACGTTTTGGTTTGGCCGCCCCTAACTTTCTTCCAACCATCTTCAACATTGCGCGTCGTGGTAATCGGTGTTCAGGCATATGCAACACGTGGCCCAACAATCTCAGTCGATGAAGATTCACAACCCCATCAACTGATTTACCATCATTCCCTAATACCCTGCGTCTAACCTCACTATTACTTACCCGGTGATCCCAGCACATGCGAGCAATATTTCTAAGACATCTGTGGTCAAACATTAGCAGCTTACGAGTATCTTCTACTCTTGATGGCCACGTTTCAGCCGTAAAATAGAACAAAACGAACTGCCGCGCAGTATAAACGTCCCTTAATTGATAGACGGATATCTCGCCTGCGCCATAGGTGACGTAAGTTAGCAAAAGTCAAACGAGCTTTTCGAATCCGTGCTGAGATTTCGTCAGACACCAACCTATTAGGGCTGATCAGACTTCCAAGATAAGTGAAGTTGTCAACGCGTTCGACTATTTCACTTCCTATCCTTAGTTCAGGTGTTGACGCAGGCCAGTCCTGAAGCAACAACTTGCATTTAGAGAGGGAGAAGCGCATCCCAAACATCCCGGTATTGTTGCTCAGTGCTACCAGAAAACTCTGCATTTTATCAGCGTCTTCACCAAACAGGACTATGTCATCTGCGTATTCTAAGTCGATAAGTGGACCTCCTGGAAGGAGCTCAATACCCGAGAATTCAGTCGACGAAAACGTTATTCCCATCAGCATGTCTATGATGAAGTTAAACAAAAATAGAGATGGTGGACAGTCTTGCCGGCCACCACTAGAGGTTGCGAAATCAGATGACAGTTTGCCATAAGTTTTCGCTCGACTAGTAGTGTTCGAGTAAAGAGCCTTCACAAGGTTTATGTACTTCTGAGGTACGCCTTTCAATGACAGATGCTGCCACAGAACCTTTCGATCCACAGAGTCAAATACTGCTTTTAAGTCAAGAAAGACCACCATTGTTGGACGCCGATAAGTATGCCTGAGTTCTAAGATCTGACGAATGGTGAATATGTGATCGGTGCATCCATGATCAGGTCTGAAACCAGTCTGGTGTTTGCAGTTCACGAGTTTTAGTTAGGCGTCCGATAATTGTTGAGGCTAGTATCTTAGATGCTGTATTAGTTAAACTAATCGCTTTATGGTTATCACAGGATGATTTTGACCCCTTCTTGTATATTGGGACAATCAGTGATTGCGACCAGTCAGATGGTATTTCGTCCAACTTCCAGATCTTAGCTAAAACATCAGTCAACCTTGTCGCTAAAACTGAACCAACATCCTTAAAGACCTATGGAGCTAATCCATCTGGACCAGCTACTCTTCCTCGTTTCAGATTAGCTA